GCCAGAGATCCTTCTGCCTCAGCCTTCCAAGTAGCCAGAACCACAGGTGCATGCTACCACCCCTGCTAATTTTTTATTTACTGTGATTTTTTTTTTTTTGAGTCAAAATCTCACTCTGTTACCCATGCTGTAGGTAGTGGCATGATCATGACTACTGCAGCCTCTACCTGCTGGGCTCAGGTGAGGCTTCCTCCTCAGCCTCCCAAAGTGGAGGGATTATAGGCGTGAGCCACTGCACCAAGCCAATTTTTTTTATTTTTTGTAGAGATGAGGTCTTGCAATGTTGCCTAGGCTCGTCTTGAACTCCTGGCCTCAAGTGATCCTTCTACCTTGGCTTCCCAAAGTGCTGTGATTACAGGTGTGTGCCACCACACCCAGCTGAAATCCTTTTTATGAGACAGGGTCGTGCCCTGTCACCCAGGCTGAAATGCTGTGCTGTGGTCTCAGCTCACTGCAGCCCTGACATCCTGGGCTCAGGCAGTCCTCCCAGTAGCTGGGACTATAGGCATGCGCCACCATGACTGGCTAATTAAAAAAAAATTTTTGTAGAAACAAAGTCTTGCTATGTTGTCCAGACTGGTCTTAAACTCCTGGGCTGAAGCAATCTTTCCTCCTCAGCCCCCCGAAGTGCTGGGATTACACGTGTGAGCCACCACACCTGTTCTAAAGAAGTTGTGAATACATTTGTTCATTCAGCAGATAATAGCAACCACACAGGGTATACTACCATGTGCCATGGATCGTGTTGGGTGCTTTGATCTGTATAAGAAACTTGACAGGCTTAGGAAAAGCACATGCCAGCAGCCAGGATGTACGTGGAGTTGTGGGGGGCTTGACTCACTGTGCTTGGTGTGTTGCAAAGCTGTAGGCATCACATGGAGCACTATGTGCATTGGTAATGTGGCTTCCTCCTAGGTGGCTGCTGCCAGGGTGGAAGCCGGGCATAACCGTCGTCATTTCAAGGCAGCCTCACTGGAGCTGAGTGAGGTGAAGAAGGAGCTACAGGCCAAAGAGCACTTGGTGCAGAAGCTGCAGGCCGAGGCCGATGGCCTCCAGTGAGTGTCTGGGCCCCATGCAAAGCTGGTCCTGGGAACCTGGCTGAGCTCAGGCATGGAGTGTTTTGGTGGTGGGCAGGGTAGCTGTCTCCTCTGTCTAATTTAGCACATTCGACACAGTGGGGGTCACCTGTTTTTTAGCAAACTACAAAGTACTTTAGAGGCAAATCACAGGAGTAGAATATACCCGACTTCAGTCTCCAGTGGCCTGAGCTTAACTCTACCTTTCCTGTCCCCACTCCCCCACCTTGCCTGTTCTTCCCAGACAGAGAGAGCCCCACCATGAGCACTTAACCTCAAGGACTGTGGTCCAGACACCAAGAGGTTCATTACAGACTCCACACTAGTGCAGCATCAAGTCAGACATGTAGAGGATCCAGCCAGGCATGGGGGTGGCACACACAGCAATACTGGTGGCTTTGCAGAGCCATTGCTAATCGTAATCTGGGAGATAGACTAAGGAAGTGTGTGTCTTGGGGTGTGTTTTTTTTTTAAGCAGGATTTATTGAGAGGACAGAAAAGTTCCCAGAGTGGGAGGCGACCCGAGGGGCTTGCCTGTCGTGGAGGGTTTTATGAGGATTGGCTGAGATGGCACCTCCTGAAGCAGTGAGCACAGGGGGCACGGCAAGGCTCACCGGGATGTCACGTTCCTCTGGCAGCATTTCCCAGTGGGAGGGCCGGCTGGGAGTGTGTAATACACCATTGTCACTTGTTTTATGCTAGGATGCTTGAGGGGACACATTCCCAGGAAGTAGCACAGTTCCAGGCAGAGCTGGCCGAAGCCCAGACACAGCTGCAGCTCCTGCAGAAGCAGCTGGACGAACAGCTGAGCAAACAGCCTGTGGAAAGCCAAGAGGTGACGTGCCGGATAGTCTCACTCCCAGTTAATCTGACTCTTGGGGCTGGACTCTGCTGCGGATGCACTGCATTACTTCATTCCCTGTTTGCTTGGAGAGGAATATTTATTGTTTTCTTAATAAAAGAAGCAGAGATACAGTTAGAGCACTTTTCTAGTGCAAGAAAGCTATGTTGAAATTCTTTTGGTCATGTGACTTCCCCATTTAGATGGAAAATCTCAAGTGGGAGGTGGATCAGAAAGAGAGAGAAATCCAGTCCCTGAAGCAGCAGCTGGACTTGTCGGAACAGCAGGGTAAAAAGGAACTGGAAGGAATACAGCAGCTTTTGCAGGTAACTGTTCTGCAAGGCTCTGGAAGGTGGGAGGTGGCACTTCCCAGGGTTGAGGTTTGCACTGATGTTGCGTGTGTACCTGGCATAGCCACACATGGAGCAGAAGCCCTTGGTGAGTTGAGTATTCTCGCCAGACGTCCTGAAGACATTGTCACCATTTCAGGAGGCCCAGCGTGGTCACCTGGTAGATATTCAGTGGCTGGAAGGAGGCAGGGCTGAAACCCGAGCTGGGCTCCGGCCACATGATTTCATCAAGTCCAGTAGATGAGAACGTACATGTCAAAAGTTTGCTCTGTGTAGTCTTGACTCCTCGAGGAAAGGGTCAGGAACTTGATGAGAGTCCTTGCTTGGAAACATTATTTATAGTAAAGGCGGAAGCTGGGTGTGGTGGTTCATTCCTGTAATCCCAGCACTTTGGGAGGCCAAGGTGGGAGGATTGCTCAAGGTCAGGAATTTGAGACTAGCCTGTGCAACATATTGAGACTTCATCTTTACAAGAAAAATTCATTTTAAAAAGATGTGTAAGTGGAGCATCCTTCATCTCCAAATTCTCCAAATCCAAAACTTTCTCACACCAATATGATGCTCAAAGGAAATGCTCAATGGAACAATTTGGATTTTTGGATTTGGAATGTTCAACTGGTAAGTGTGATACAAATATTACAAAATCTGAAAAAAATCTGAAATACTCCTGGTCCCAGGCATTTTGATATGGGATACTTATCCTGTATGTCTTAGGAATGGTAGGCATATTCTAGTAGCTAACGTTGGAATTTAAACAGGAGGTTCTTGGTGTTCACTGTAGAATGTGGCCATGGTTCCTTGGCAGAAGCTCTGGAATTTGGATCAGAATGTTGAGGATGTGATTGTAATTGGATCCTTCACAATCTAGACAGGTGGAGAGGAAAGGGGTTGAGATGGAAATGTCATATCCTAGAAACATCAAGTACTGTATTTTTAGTCCCTTGCAATTGTGACAGACGAAGATCTTAGCAGTCTGTTTAAGATCTTTTGGCTTTTAAAAATCTGACTTTACTCTCCTTAGAATATCAAGTCTGAGTTGGAGATGGCACAGGAAGATCTGTCCATGACCCAGAGGGATAAATTTGTGCTTCAAGCAAAAGTGTCGGACCTGAAGAACAACATGAAGACTCTGCTTCAGCAAAACCAGCAACTGAAGCTGGACCTTCGCCGCGGTGCAGCCAAGACGGTATTCAGGCCTACATCCCTTTCAGCTTGACTGACACCTACAGCAGATGGGCTTTTGGATAGGAGGCTGGCAGATTTTCCAGTCCTTCAGACACTAACATAGTATATAACCAACACTGAGCAACTATCATGTGGAAATAGATGAAAATGGAGTATGCTACTTAGACAGTGGGCCAAATTATTTTGTTGTGGAGCCTTTTACAAAAGAATATTTCTTTTCATGAATTAAAGCACTCTTTTGTTGTAAAATACCTTGTAAACCAATGAAAGAGTAGTTTGTGATGGAGCAGGCCTTGCCATGTTTTAAGAGCTGGGACACAGCAGCTACCAGAGTGGGCTTGGGCCCAGGAATCTGAAGCTGCTGTCAGAGTTCTGCTCAGAGTGCTGGCACACCTGGCAGTTTTCCCATGCTCAGTCTACATGGATGTTTCCCAGGAGGCAGGTACAAAGAAATCTCTCACAGTCAGAGGAGTTGAGGTTTATTTCACATCATTTTCCTGTCTGTGGAAAAAACATTTAAGTCCTAGAAAAGGGAGTCCGATAAGTTGGAAAGTTTATTTCTTAGGGAAACTCAAAAGCCTTGGGTCTCTCCTGGAAAGCTTCTATGTGAGGGTCTAGGTGAAGATTTTGCTCCATCCTCCTGTGAATCCTGGGCTTATTTCTGCTTTAATTTGTGCCTGAGGAGTGAAGTTATTTATTCAGCAAACATTTCTTGAACTTTGATTGTCAGGCTGTGCTAATACAACAGCGACCAGAGGGTCCCATGAGTGGGAAGACTGATGCTTGTTGTGATAATGAGAATGACTGGAGGGAGGAGACAGGAAAGCTAACAGTTTGCTTTTACCAACAGAGAAAGGAACCAAAAGGCGAGGCCAGCTCCTCCAGCCCCGCCACACCCATCAAGATCCCAGACTGTCCAGTCCCAGCTTCACTGCTGGAAGAGCTGCTGAGGCCCCCACCCGCTGTGAGCAAGGAACCCCTGAGGAACCTGAACAGCTGTCTCCAGCAGCTCAAGTATGATCTGTGCTCAGTGTCTGTCCTTTCATTTAGTCTTTAAAAATTAATGGCACGCTTGATTTGGAGGATTTCTCCTGGTGCCAGCCTCAGGTGCCTAGCAGTGTGAGCAGGTTTATTCTAAGTGGAGGTTACTCACACGTGCAGCCTCTGTGCTCTTTTTTATTTTATTTTGAGTTAAAGTCTCACTCTGTTGACCAGGCTAGAGTGCAGTGGCACACTTACAGCCACCACAGCCTCGACCTGTGGAGCTCAGGTGATCCTTCCGCTTCAGCCTTCCAAGTAACTAGAACTCTGGAACTACAGGCATGTGCCACCACACCTGGCTAATTTTTTGATTTATTGTAGAGATGAGGTCTTGCCAAGTTGCCCAGGCTGGTGTCAAACCTGTGAGCTCAGGCAGTCCTCTCACCTTGGCCTCCCAAAGTGCTGGGAATATAGGCATGAGCCACTGCGCAGGGCCCTCTGCATTCCTATTGTAGGATGAAAACCACCTGGAATTAAACTGCCCCATAAGTCCTTGGAAGCTTGAAGGCCATGCACTGTGCATCCAGCCGCCTAAGGCTGAGCCTCCAGCGTGGGAAGGACAATGTTTGCAGGGCATGCCAGGTGGGGCCCATGGGGAGATAACAGGAAGTAGAAGTTGTGTGTGACACTGGCCTCAGTGACAGCTTCCACGTAGCAGTCTGGTCAGCACTGGGCACTCCAATCTGTATCTTTTGCACATTTCCAGGGAAGTGGGAGTCCGAGTCACATCTGCTGGCCTCTACCCAGCGGAAGTGCCGGGGTCATCTAACTGTGGTATTGGTTGGTTTGCTGGTCTTTGGAGATTTCTTGATCCCTGAAAGTGCTAGGGACCCACTCAGGTGCCATTGAGTGAACGGCCGTCAGTCAGGTCAAACCTTTCACAGATGAGGCTGTGGCTGGTTCTGTCAGGGCTTCGTGCAACCTGGGTTTCCCCTTTGCCTTCTCCTGTCTCCCCAGGCAGGAGATGGACAGCCTGCAGCGCCAAATGGAAGAGCACACCATCACGGTGCACGAGTCGTTATCCTCATGGACTCAGGTGGAAGGCCATCTCTCAGACCCAGCCCCTGGCATTCCTGTACCCCCAGGGAACCATGCCAACCCCCAGGGTGATACACAGAAACACGGTCAGAGCACGGCTTCCGAAGAAGGGCTGGGACAGTGACTGTTGCAGCCCTTACCTCCACGTGTGTCTAACTGTAAAGGAAGATTATTTTGTCAATATTATTTATTTGATTGTGTGCTCTAAGAGATGGTATTTAAGTTTTGCTTTTGCCTTTAACAGGAGTGAAATAACAGAATGAGAGCCAAGGATTAGAGAAGTCATTTGAAGGTCACAATGAGCTTTTCCCACAAAACAACCAAATCTGAAAAACCTAGTTTAGACCTCAGTGAGGAATTTTTTAATGAGTCTGAAGGAGTATTTGCAGAAGGAGGTATCTTCTGAGTGATGACAGCTGCTGCCGTCTGAGGGTGACACCAGCAGCAGTTACTGGTAGAAGTGCTGCATGGCAGGGTCCGTGGCAGCAGCACTGGGGCAGGGGACTGCAATTTCTCACTTCCCTGCTCCATTCAGTAAGAGCTTTACTTTCCTGCAGAAATGACATTTTATTTGCACCTTTGCCTTTTATTTTATTTTTTCAATACCAATTTTTTGCAATTATTTTTTTCATCTCGCCATAGGATGTGTATATAAATTCTGAAGATCATAATCCAACATTTATGCTCATTTTATTTAAGAGCAACATAATTGTCTCTTTATTGCCTTTCAAAATCTTGCTGTTGGAAAATAATATACATGTAGGATTTAGGGATATTGGTCATAAAATTTTATTTTAAGAAATGTAATTATTTTATTTACCTTCTAAAACCAAATATCCTTACACAGAAAGGGTACTTTGTTGTTTTAATTGTACTTATTTCTGGGAGCTTCTCCCTGCCCAGTCTCTTCCTCTCTGACCACTGGCCATGTGTGGTCCCACCCACCTCGGCCAGCCACCAGGCAAGTAGCATGTTAGACCCTTGATCGGGCCTCGCGGCCACTAGGAGGCACAAGGACGCTGAGGTCCCCATGTGATGACCTGACATTCGGGGTGCACAGACAGAGCAAGAGGAGAGGAAGAGAAGAGTGGGCCAGGGGCTCCCTTCCCTGCAGGGACTCCTGTGGCTTCCATGTGACCCTAAACTGTTGCAGCTCACAGGGCAGACAAGCCTTTCTCCAGGCCTCACACTTCTGTGCAGTACGTGAATATCTTTACCAGGCCTGTGAGAATGCCTCAGCACAGCCATCAAGAGACATCCAGGTCCTTGGTGGACACACCGGCATCGCGTGGCACGCAGAAGCGATTTACAGAAGAGACAGGCCAGCCCCACAGGGAAGGTAGCTGTGGTCCTCCAAGGTGTCTCAGAAACAGATGCCTTATTTAAATCAGTACTGAGTGTGTGATTTTACATTTCCCACCTAAACACTGAGACACTGCAGACACTGACTGCCTGGGAGAGTTGAAGTCTGTAAGTTTTCCCTCAATTTTCTCAGAAACTAATATAGTATTTATTGTTATGAGTTAGAGGAGAGAGAGAATGGGTGCAGGTGGCCTCCTATGCAACCTGCTGGTGTGAGGTGACGTTCTGAGTGTCACTGGCCAGTCCAGATGTCCTCATGGCCATACGTTACTTGTGTCTGTTTTGTGAAGAAAACAGTTTGGTATTTATAAGCTGTTGGTGTTCTTGTAATATACTGTTAGAAGGCTAAATGATAAGGGTAAGTAGCATTGACCACAAAGATGTTTAGTGTTTTAAAAAAATTCCCTAGCAAGTATTGGAACATCTAAAAAAAAAATATATATATATATATATATATATATATGCGTGTGTGTGTGTGTGTGTGTGTGTGTGTGTCTCATTTGTACAGGGTTAATTTTGAAATACTTGAAAAATCTATTATAAATATATTCCTACATTTTATCTTACATTGGAGATGTTTTTGAGTAGATTGTTCTTGTACCATTAGAAAAGATGGTAATTGACATTCATATTTATTTTGGCTGTATTATCCTGTTCTCATTTTAAAACCAAGTAACACAGACTTACTCTGTGGGGAGCTGCTTTCTCCTCCTGCTGTGGAAGGTCTTCAAATGAGTGGTGTTAACTGTGTATTTCTTCCTTTAAGATAAACTAATTCTGAATATATTCATCATGTGAATGCAGATTTCTGTTCCTCATCCCTTTGTTCCTTTGGTTGTCCTGCGTGTGCATACATGAGTGTACATGCTCAGAAATGGCTCCTGCTCTTGGTGTCTGTCGTCACCCTGTGCCAGGTTGTCAATGCTATCTTCTGGTGTGGTGACGAGCCTGGCCTGTCTTGTCCCCTGCTGTGTGAGTCTCATGTTGCTCCTGTGTTTTCATGCCTGGGGTTGGATCTGAGGCCTCTTGTTCAAGTCTTTAGGCTTCTTGAGGAAGTCACCTTAAAGAGGACATGGGATGTTTAAGATGCCTGCCTTTTTGATTGCTGAATTTTTTTTCCTATCTCCAAGGGACTCTCCTGGTACTTCTACCTCCCAGAGTTAGACTCTTCAGTGGATAAAGTTTGAATTATTGTTTTTGTGTACAGAACTGAGACTTGTGGAATATGCTCATGGTAACAGTCGAGTCCAGAGCGTTGCGTTATAAACAGGGTCACCATCGCATAAGGTTTGTGCGAATCATTTATCCCGTGTGTCATGCTGATTGCAGAGAATGTTGGCTTGGACGTGTCACATCATTACTTGTTTTATGTTCCAAAAAACAATGTGGCTTTCCTTGATTCTTCCATGGTACACGTCAGAGAGATGCCACGGATCTCATAGATTTATACACCTTGTTCTCTGCTCTGGAATACGTGTCAGGCAATGTTTTTGATAGGAGGTGACACTGACTCCCCTCGGGTCTGTGCCAGCTGAGACAGCCTCTGGTGTGCTCCCTCAGGAGGCTTGCATTGAACTCTTTCTCAGTACAGGGCAGCTGCAGAAGCTGTGAGCCTGTAAAGTCACCCTGAAATCTGTTCCTGCTTCCGTAAGTTAAATGTCATGTGTAAAGATTCTAGGAGTCAAAGGAACCAGCATATTTGAAAGAGAAATGTCCTGGAGCCTTCCTTTTGAGGGAAACCCCTTGCCCCCCACCATGACGTGAATAATGCGGTGGCGTGAAACATTCTGAGCCTTATTCTAACACTTTCTGACTCAAAGTTCCAGGCAAATCTGATTTTATGGTGGTCTCAGGTTATAATAGGATCCTTGAGAGTAATGTTTTAGAGGGTCTAGAAAATTCAGTGGTTTTGAGTCATTCATTTCTATGAAAAATTTCTTCACAAGAGTCCTCAAGTGGTGGCTTTTCAGGGGAAAGGTGTCAGTCACCACATATGACAAATTGTAACTTAAAAGCATGTTGGTTTTTTATAAATTAAAGCGTGCTTGGGAATTCCTTAAATTTTGTGCAATAAACTATTTTTTGGTAAAGATTTTCAAATTTCATTGGGGCTTCATTTTGGTATTTATATTTTATCATATTTGGGAGTAATTTTTTAACTCATGTTGTTAGACACTCTGGTCACGTATTTAAGAGAGAATTTTACTGTTTTGCCAAAGTTTCAGATGGGACGCGAAATCTAACTTCTTGTTGCTTTGGACTGCAGCAAGAGTAGCAACTTAGCCATATTTCTTCCCTCTTTAGCCCATACTTCACCTGTTGCCATTTGCAAGGAATACAGAAGGAGCGAAGTTTATAGGGGCAACAGAGTGCGTGGCTCCAAGGGGAAAGGATGGTGGCTGCTCTTCAGACAGACTGAAAACTTGTGTCCATTCCGTGCTTTCTGTATGCGGGCCAGGGGCTCCCTGCAGCCACTGGCATCTGCTGGGGTATCACTGGTAACCATGGGATCTTAACTCAGACTTCAGCACTGTGACTTCCCAGTCTTTTTTGTCTTTTTCATCCATGCTTTGTTTTGACCAATAACTTTAGCCAAGTGTAGAGAATTTTCCAGTTAACTCATTATCAAGTATTACTTCGTATGTTTTCAGTTTTCAGATGACTCATAGTCATCATAGCTAATACAGAAAAGGAGCAAGAAACAAGTGTCATAGGATGTGACTGGTGGCGTTTATGCATACACATTTTTCCTAGACTCCACTTGTTGGCTTCTCTACCAGAGGCCAGATAAATTGCTGCACCACACAGATCCAAGTGCAGATTCCCTGACCACCTTCTTTTGTGGCCTTAACCTCACAAAATATTAAGGATACAAAAACTTTCTTTTAACATTAGAAAACAGTTTATTTAGAAAGGAAATTGGAAAGAGAAAGAGGGGATTCACTCCCCAAGGGAGGGGAGGGAGTCAAAGCTTAAGAAAACATGGCGACAGCCACAGCTTAAAGAGCACATGGCCACACCAGAGTCTAGTAAGGGAATAGCCAGGATACAGATTTTTTGTATTCAGTAACCATTGAGGAAGGCTTACATATATCTCAGCTTTTTCCTTTTGGCCATAAAGATGCTAAATGTTTGCAGGCACTGACCTAACCAGTTGGCATTTATTTTTATGCTGTATCTCTCATCAAATAGATTGCTCTGTGCTACATCCTCTTGGAAAGTTGTACAGTGACTGTCACAAGAGTGGTTTGGCATAGATGTATGGATTCATCTTCCTGGCTTACAGTGGTGGCAAGTCCAGTCAAGAATCTGGGCCAAGCATAGGAACGAGGACTTGCCACTGTGACAGGAGGCTCAGGATTTAAAAATCACAGGTCACTCAGAAATCTGATTCCTCATGCAATACTAGGAATCAGGTTATGGGAGATATATAAAATAGAATTGTATACACCCCTGCCATCTAGCGTGATGGATAAACATAGTAGTTGTTAGAAGAGACCCCAAGCCTTTCCTAGATGAGAAGGAATTCTCAGCAGTCATAACTTTTTTTTTTTTTTTGAGAAAGCAGGATTTATCAAGAGGACAGAAAAGCTCCCAGAGAGGAAGGGGACCTGATGGGTTTGCCCAGCAGTTGGAGCTTCTAAAATCAGAAGCACCAGTTGGAATTCTGCTTGCCTTCATGCATGCTTTCCTTTGAGTGTTGCAGATTCTGTTAAGACGTGTACTTTGAAGAAGGCCTTTTTCCTGGAAACAAAGGGGGATATTAAACTGTGTTGCCGAGCCGTCTCTACCATTCTTGCAGTGCCCTCCATTCATTCACCTGTTTGTGTGCAGGGTGTCTGTCAC